TGTTGAAGTTAGTCAAATACGCATGTTTTCTGCAAATTTCAAGAACATTGCAACTTCTCAAACCTGTTTTCAAATATCTGGATTCTTAAAACAAAATTTTATTATAGAAAATGAAAGCACCAAGTGACTACTTTATTTTGATATATAAAATGGGAAAGAGGCTGATAGTTAATCAATTGATAACAGTACGGAGCCATTTTTTGCAGAAGATGGCTCTTGCTCTTTTGTTAAATTCATAAAAGTATAAGGTTACAGAAAATTACATGTTTCAGAACCTTAAAAATCTTTTTTTATAGAGAAAAAATAAAAGTAAAAATAATTTTAGTATGCCCTGTAACGAAAATATTGCTAAATACTTCTTCCTTCCTATGTACGCGTGTGCAGAAAAGTTGAATACTACGTTACCATAGTTACCATGGTTTAAGGTACCCAGGAATGAATGTACGTGGACCAAAAATTTTGATGCAATCCTTTTAAAAAGTTGTTAGAACATATCTCTCACCCTTGCATGCTCCAGTTAAATGTTGTTTACAAGTTTGAGTTAAAAAAAAGTGGCGTGACTTTGACATAAAAAACAACTTAATGGTAGATAAAAGCTTTGTTTTCCCGGCACTTATATTGTGCAGTCTTTTTTTCTCTGTATGCTACATATTTCTTAAAAGAACACTTGATTTTGACTCATAGTGTTACTTTAAGATTAACACAAAAATAAATTTTATTCCATGTTTTATTTTCTTTCTAAAGTGCCAGAATCTTGCAAAGATGTTGTCACCTGCTCAGGAATAACCAAAGATGGCGAGTACTGGATATCTCAAAATACAAACAGACAAAGAGTGAAGATTTTTTGTTACAACATGGCATCTGATCCATCAGAATATATTACTTTAAGAAACACAAATTCCTTCATTGAACACGATCCATCAAACTGGCCAATCATGAATATGCAATGTCAGTCGAGTTACACAGAACCTTTAAAAAGGACAGATTTCCAGAAAGTTGGAATAGAAATTCAATTTTTTTTTTTTTTAATAATTTATGAATTGTTGAAAGAATTTATGATAAAGCAGTAATTATTTTCTTTGAAATAAAGAAGTAAAGTAATTCAATAAACGATATATACTTTGAGTTTAGAACTTTGGCAAAAAAAACCCACACATCAAATCACTAGATAATGAATGGGATTAAAAAATACAAGAAGAAATGAAAGTAAATTTTTTTTTCTACACAGACTTTGAAAATTTATGGATTGGATTACACGTTTGCAACGCTGACTGGTTCACCTACGTTACCGTAAGAGAAATTAGAGATTGCAATGGTAAATCCTTCCGGAGTCCCTGTCCACATTTTGCAAATGCAACCATCAACACTAAAGGAACTGGGCTGGTTATTGACCCCTCTGTAAGATATTGATGATACTGTAGATCACAAAATTTTCGCGACACCTTATCTTCGCGAGATAGTCATTGACTCTTGATTAGCGAGACAAAATTTTCGCGAATTGTGGTTATTGCTCTATATATTCTTAAGGAATACTATTATACGCGAGAATTAAATTTTCGCGAGCACACTGTCTCGCGTAATTACGCGAAAATAAAGTTCTCGCGAATAAAAAGTGATTTAAAGTACATAGTGTTATAAAAGACATATGAATTTAAGAATACTAAAATTTAAATAATTTTTCAAATGGTGCATTGTTAAGTAACTGTAATTGTTGTATTATATCATTGTTTTTCCTTCTCCATATACTGTATTTCCATACTTCAATTATGTTTATATATATTTCATCATGTTTTCTTTCCATCATGCAATAAAAATTCGATTATCTTTTTTTGTTATTGACAACAGAACAGCCATGGTTGACATTTGTATCATTTTTGTTCAATATGCATCGCAGCACAGTTAAGGTTACAAAAAGGAGGCGGAGCTTAATTTGTACGGGAAAACTTGACTATGACATCATGCACAATATACGTCATACAACATTTCTTTAAAATAACACAAAATGTGTTTATCTGCTAATTTAACCAATAAGAAATCATCAAACTACATAAAAACTTACTATAGCGTGTTGTTTTGTCGTTAGTTAAATCCCACATAACAAGTTATAAACAAGTCACTTATTGCGATACACTTGTCAATATGACGTCATTTCTTACAACGTGACGTAGTTTGTATGCAGTGAGAGACAGATCAAGTAATATTTTCTCGACAAAATATGTTTTCTCTAATTAAATAAAATATTATTTACATATATTCTATGGACCAATAAATTGAATTTAATGTTTTTTTCACTATTTTATTAATATATTTTCTGTACATTACGTATTTAATTGACACTGCCGTATATTTGTATGCCAGTACATCGGAGGATAATGTGGGGGGGTCTCAATAAATCGATCTAGTGCAAGGGCATACACTCTGTGGATCAAAGTAAGCTTTTACATTTCAACTATTGAACTACTAAGGTATCTGAAAAGTGCTGCGATCCTGATGAAATCTTAAAAACAATTTAATTATATCAATATTTCATGCCGCTGACCAGCAAAAATATAGCATTCGGTCATACAAATATAATTTTAACAATGAAATTGCAGAATTTAGACAGGATCGCAGCACTTTTTAGAAACTACAATGCGTGTTAAAAATATTTATATACTAAACTTGGAAATTTAACTTGGTTATGCCCTTGCACTAGTGACATTTATATGTAACATCAATACTTCTCGTCAATGTGCTCAAATCGCGTGACTGCCGCATCACGTGACTAGTCTAAATATAAAATATAATCGTCCTCGATATGTAGTTATTAATCATAATTACAATTATCCGATATAAATAATGTACTAAAAATAATCGCCATCCTGATTACGAATACATTTTTAAATACAAAATTCAGTCGATATTTCCATTGCGCACCTTAACTGTACTGCGATAATCAATTGTATCAAGGTAATCACTGATTACGATAAATTACGTAATCTTAATGCTGCATACTTTTATTAAAACTGAAAAAATCAATTTCTATATCCTAAATAAATTTTTATCACAGAATATTTCATAAATACAAAGAATGAAAATCTCAATCACGCGAAAAGGATTGAGGAATTTTAAATATTCTTATATTAACTCTTATATTAACCGCCCATTAGCCTACCCTTTATGTGTTTTTTTTTTAAATTAGGAATCTGTTTTTGAAGTTTATTAGACGTAGAGTAACCTTTTACAATAGTCCTAAGTACAGGGAGTCCCGATTTTTCAATTGGCAGCATAACCTCATTTCTATGATGAATAGTCTTATACATCATAAATGTTGCGCGATATTTTAGGGGGAAGACATTAAAACATTAATGCATTATAGAAACAAGTTTAAAAATTGAAAAATGAACCATCTATTCTTCCATTCACTTAATAGGAGGTGATAAAGGATTAGTGGTTCTCGGTTTTATTTACAAGGCTCATTAGCATTGGTATAACTGAAAAAAACTTGGGTTTTATTTTGAAAATCGGTAAATCTTACATGCATTTTTCTATGGGCAAAGTTCTTCATTGATCATCGGCGTTACACAGTGATTAGAGAGTGATTTGCTCTTGAGTGTCCGTGTAAGGAGATGATCCTTATGTCGACGGTTTATATTCCATCCAACGATGTGACACGGGGTCACTCCTTCACTTAGGGGATGGTCATTCATCCAAGGCACCTAGGTCCATGTTCAATGTCGTGTTCACGAATTTTTTTTTAACGATCGCTGTTTAGTCTTTTCACCTTTTTCATAACTTCTTATTAACCTAGCTAAAGGTACAGGCAGAAGACTTTCTAACATTCCATTCAACAAAAGTGACTATGTACATTATCTATACGGGATTCCGTCACTTCATAAAAATTCTGTCAATGGAAGATAACTTTTCTAATTCTATGAGACCTTTAACAAGTTCCTTATCAAACTATTTACTGTTGTAAAGAATTAATTTTAGACGTTCTATACCACAGTCTATTCTAGGAGTGGAACAAATCAAAGTTTATTTTTCTTAGACATTAGAGAATTGAAGAAATTAAAAATTTTAAATAACATTTTTTTCAAAGGGTGATAGAAATCAAACTTATGACTTTTCCACGCTTCTTAAAACCATTTTTCATGGTAAATTATAAATTGCTTTTTCATTTCTAAATCAACTGCTTCTTCAACGAAAATAAGTTTGTGTACTTTGAAATGTTCACGTCTTGTGATTGGTTGTAAAAATTAGCTTGTAAAAAATCGCTTTGACTTTACAATTATGTACTCTAAATCTGACATCATAAATTATTATATAATTCTTTTTGACAATATTTGTGTAATCTTTGAAAGTCATTTCATCCAATATCATCAAGCTTATTAACTAATCTTTAAAACACAACAAGATACAGCTGTGACGTAAGCTGATGCTACAAAAACTTGAACAACCACGTTCAAATTCTGCACCTCTGAACATGAAAAGCACTTTACAAACTTTAAAGATTAAGTATCTTACGTTCTACTCAAATTACAAATTTTATTTTAAGAAGAAGTTACGTATAGGATACTCTTTTTTAATATGAGTTATAATGAAGGACAGATGATACAAAGATATTGAAACATGGGTGTTTATATTTTTTAAAAACCTATTTTGGTCGTTAATTTATTTCTAAAATATTTAAGACTTTGCTTACTTTCAATGATGTCCAATATTCTATCTTTTTGCATCTATCCTTATTAATATATATATATATTTTTGTAACATTCCCTTATTTTGAAACTTTAAATGAAAAATAACAAAATATGTGGGGTAAAACTTACTCATTTTATTTGTATAAATATAACCAAGATAATAATTATTTTGAGGATTTTTTTTTATAAAAGTCAGCTGTCCTTAAAAGTGAAAATTTTCACCTGATACTGATATTAACGTCACCACACAGTGCATTTGCTAACCAATTCACGTTTATTCAGTTGACGTGGGGAGTAATCAAGGGCTATTACCCGAAAATGAGAGATTTTCGAAAATCACCAGATGGCGCTGAGATATCCTTCACCTGTGCTGGATGGTGTGCAAGATGTGGACCAACGTCAGGATCCATTATATTCAAAGTGTCAAACGAATTCAGTAAACCTTTCTTATTTACTCTTTACACATAGACATATCACAATTATAGCAATTTAGCGTATCTACATTTTTAAAATAAAAACCAAGTTCTTTTCAGTTACATCAATGATGACGAGACTTGTAATCTATTTAAAATTATTTAAAATACTGGAAAACTATATGGCTAATTTTATATATGATTTTTACCTAGTATAAAGAGAAGTAGATTCTTAAGTTTAAATTGCATTTCTTTCATTTCAGTATCAGCTGCGGAAGCCCAAGCGTTGATATGTCATAATTAACCCTTCTATCGCTGTAGATATTAAATGTTAAATCGACACGTATATCATGGTACGACAGTAGATGTACAAAAGTACAAAATACAATACTGTGTATGTTAAAATATAACAAATTGTTGAATTGCTTGAAACCTCATGTTATGTTCAAATATTTGTTGTTCATTGTTGTTAAACTTGAAAGTGAAATGAAGTTAGAGGGAATGTTATTCTTTTTAAAGTGTTTCAGTTCTCTATTGTCCCCCTTTCAACATCTATAGTTATACGTATGCCATTTAATTTTTTTGCCATCAATACCATATACCATATAATCTTTCTTATCGGAATATGTACAAAAATATAGCATTTTTTAAAGAATTAAATTTATGCTATTAAAATTACATGTAAATTAAAAATAGTTATGCCATTTTTTTATTTGGCTCTATAATCTGTAATTTGTGACATAGATTATTATTGTATTTTTTGTCTGAAAAGTTTTAATTTATTATTTATTTTGGTTTTAGTGCGTTAACCCCATAAAAATCTAAAAACATTTTTCATTTAAGAAAAAAATATGTACACAGGAATAGATGTTATGTGCCTGCTATTAGCAGATCTTTATTTGTATTTATATGGAGCAGATTTATTTAAAAGAATATGAGAAAAAGACAACATTTGCCTTCCTGTGACTTACCTGGAAAATTAAAATATATTGAGAACACATTATCAATGATGTTTACAGTACTGACTTCCATTCCTACGTCGACTCGATATATTCCAGAGATTTTGAAGTAAAAAAAATACCATAAAGTTTGACACATCTAGGTGTGATATATTTGGATAATTAATTTTTACTAGAAAAAAGCATAAATTGTATCATAACAACAACATTTTATGTATGATAAACGTAAGGATAAGGGAAAACATAAAAAAAATCGTCGACAATTTATAGTTTGTTAATGACGACTTTAAAATTAGCAATGAAACTAGAGGAACTGTGAGCAATGAGCTCTCTAAATGATACCCTTCTCTCTCTCGCCATATTAATATAATGGCAGTGTCCAATGTGTTGATGTGGGAAACCCAAAATATGTGTCAGATCAATAAGTTAGATAGGAGGTGCACAATGGCAATATGTAACATGTAAAGATTCTGTGAAAATTTCATCAAATTTCATTCAGTGGTTTGAGAGGAGTTGTGGATAAGAGATGGGTACCTCAAAGAGTAACAGACAGACAGACGGACGGACAGGCATAACGATTAATATATAATTATAACCTCCCGCTTTTCAACATGTATTTGTGAAACACATGCCCCCGGTGGTAGCACAATTATTGAGTGGGGCGTAGACTGAAGTGATATACACTTGTAAGATGGTTTAAGGTGGCAAAGGTGAAAATACTGAAAACGTTTTTTTTAAATAGTTTTGAGCTATGGTTAATTACATGTACAGTTATATGTTTTTTGTTCATTGTATTGTTACTTTGACCTGTTGTACAGAGAGGGTATCTATAGGCTTTAAGCATGTTGCCCAATCTATTCAGTCGATAACTGAATAAATATTGTTTACACTTATGTTTTTATTGTACTCCGTATAGTACCTTATGGCGATGGTTGAATTCTCTCAAAAGCATGTCAAACTGCAAAAGGCCAAGGTCAAAAGTGGTGGTGTCAAAAGGAAGGTCTTGTTATAAGGAATACACCCGTAAAATATGAAAACCCTAGTTCTAACTGTTCAAAAGTTATGACCAAGGATAATTGTTTTTTAAATGGGTCAGACTCTTAGATAAGGTTAAAAAAATATTTTGACCAGTTAAAAGGTCTTGTCACAGTAAAAATACATGAAGGACGAAAGCCCTAGCTCCAACTGTTCAAAAGTTATGGCCAATGTTAAGGTGTGGCATTTCGTTGTAAAGGTAGTAGGTCAAATTTAGTGGTACCCAAAGGAATACGCCTGTGAAATATGAAAGCCATAGCTTCTCCTACTCATAGTTATGGGCTAGGGTAAAGTTGACGTGACGCAGCGAAAGATCACAGGGGTATATTGTTTTCGTCATGTCTGTTTGTCTCACTGTCTGTCTGTTGTCAACTTTAACTTTGTCAAGACGCAGCGTACTACCTGTGGTTGAGTGAAACATTGAATTTTTTAAACCAAGAATCTACTTTCAACCTCGGCTGCGTCTCGGGATGAAAATTTTCCATTCACACTCAAGTACATGCAATGTTTATATAGCGTTTTCCAACAAAGCCATTATATCATCAAGCATTGAATATGCAAAGTTATTTACATTTGATACATGCAGAAATGCTTCAAATTATACCCGGGTATACAAATCTGGTATAATAATATTCATCTAGTTTTTTTTTCGAGGCTTAGATTTGAGAAACAATTCACATAATGCAATAGATTTTTATGTGGTTTGATTTTTTTTTTATTAAGCCTGTTTTTAAATCATTATTATTCTTTTAAGTTTTCAAAACCATTCATTTCACAAAAAAGAAATTCAATATTTCTTTTTGAAAGATGGATTCTTCTCTTATACGTATTTCGTTTTATTAAAATTAATGAATCTTTGATGGCTTTACAAAGAATTTTACCTACCGGTAAGTGATCGATAGTTTCAATTAGATAAAATTCAGCCAATTTTTTTCCAAAGCAAAGCGAAATCAATGTCATTTTCTTTTTCCATTATAAAAGTATAAAATAATTAATGTTGCCAATCAAGTGATTCTTACTTTGTACAAAATTATGTTACCGTACGGTCTCTGTCAGATTTTAATCTCAGTTTATTACATGTATATCTATCTAAACTTTTACTTGAACAATAAGGAAAAGGAAAGAAAAATATGATCTTTTAAATCCTTTAAATCTAAAGTTAAACGATGGTTCTGCGAAAAGATCGTGGACTTCTGTCATATCTTTTTTATTTGACATCATATATGTTATTGCAGCCAGGAGGATCGGGTTGCTCTAAACATATAAGTTTAAGTATTGGTGTATGGAGATTGAGGTGGGAGAAGTTAATCAGAATTAAGAGTTTTCTGAACATATAAAATATTGTTCATCATAGATTTATTGAATTTCTTAAAATGCAAAACTTTAATGTAACATGTTCTTGTCCAAATTTGGTAGAAGTATTCTAACAATATATTCAAAAGATTTGTTTTATTTCTTTATCAGCATTTATTCAAAGCTTATCCAGATTTAAAAAATGCAAAAATCGGGTTGCGGAGCAGGTCAAAATTTAGTAAATTACAAACAATACACTAAATAATGTTTGTAGTGATATTCTGTTAAACGAAACGAAAAGCAGATAACGATGCAATTTTGTGTTTTCTCAGGAAAAATCCTGAATAAATTCTTAAAAAGTTGGAGGATTCAAATAACGTGTAACAAGCGAGCTGTGCATATGTCGCCAAATAGTACAGGCAGTATTTGAGTGACAAAGACTCTGTATCGGATGAGGACAATCTGTGAAGAAACGGTTTAACTGTAAAAATCTGAGCAAAACCCTTAAAAAGTTGGAAAGTCAAGGAAAAACATGCGCCCTAGAGTTGCTTTATCCTGTGAAAGCAGTGTTAAGTAATAAAAGAAATTAAAACCTTAACAAAGAAAATTATAAATCGTAAACAATTGTTAAAAAAGAAATGTCAAGTATCAGAAAAAAGGTTTTTAATGAGTGGGTAAAGATATGCTGTATATAATGTATAGGGAAAGTATTTTTAGAAATTATTGACGCTATATTTTGACGTTACATTGCCGTTAAGTATACTCCGCGGGTACAAAACATGCTATTATTAAAATGAAGCAATTTGATTTCTGTTACATCGATTGAAATGACACTCATCAATGAAACAAATATTCTTTTCTTTTTTTTTTTTTTTTTTTTTTTTTTTACATTTTTACATTTGGTAATGTGCTTATTTTAAATTTCTAATGAGTAATATAACGAAGATTGGCATCGTCCACGAACTATTCGAACAACCTTCGTATAAGCAAACATAATTTTAATATTTAAATTAGGCAGAAACCAGACAAGAATCACCAAGAATAAGAAAATTGCGCACATACCTAAACTTACAGGAGAGAGAGGGAGAAGGAGATTTTTACAAAAGTAATCGGCTTCACCCTTTTCATTTAGTGTCTGGTTTCTCTTTTAAATATTCCTATATTAAATAAAAAAAATTGTTTTTAGTAAAAACGACTCAAATGTATTATTGCAAAAGTGAATGAAGTTCAAAATTCTGAAAGGTTTAAAATTCTAACTGTACTGTAAGGTAATTTTTTTGTTTACAAATTTATTCCGTTTGTCCAGTTACTAGTATGCCAAGGAGCCCGTAGTGGGTGTAACTAGTGCTCAGGAGATGCTTAACCCTGCATGGTCTCTCCTTTGATATTTTAGAGGTGTGTGTTTGTTGTCCTTCCAATCTTATCTGTTTCAAGGAACTTTTGACCTTGATAATTGTTAGTTATCCTTATATTTCATGAATAACGGAATATAAAGAAGAAATAAAATGTTAAGATACGGAACAAGGATAAAACACAAAATGCCATAGGAAAAAATAACTCAAATGTACTGTTTGCACTTTTAGATAAAACAAAACAGAATCAAAGGAATAATGAATACAATGACTTAAGGGGGCCGACTATAGTTTTATTGTGTGAAAACTACAATAGCAAAACTCTTCATTTTTATACCATATATAACTTACATTAACTTCAGTGTACATGCAAAGTTTAGGGAAAATCTACTGTCTCAAAATACAGGTACATTTTGTATAGGATTATATAGGAAAATGTCAATTTTTAGCACTTTAAAGCAAATTTTACAAATACTACAATAGACTTTTTGTTCAAACTATAATATTTGATGAGTAATAGTATATTATACAATATATGTAAGAAACACAAAATTCTACCGTCTTGTTACCAGAGGGGGCATCTCAAAATGCAAAAAATTAGCAAATTTTACTATTTTTATAGCGTATAACAAAATATGACGTACACAATGGATTCACGTGGAAACATAATTAAAATATTGGAAATATTCTCAAATTTCTGTGTTTTAAATTTCAAGAGCGAATGTTTATTACTTTTTCTTTAATAATATTTTTATTACTCCTTTCTTTAAGAGCTTTAGATTAACATAACGTCAAAAAGACGCTGCAGCGACGTCAACCTACCTATTAATTGCAAAATCGGTTAAAAAATTAGTTTTATCAAATTGTAATTACATTTTTATATCTAAAATTTCTTAATTTTGTTTAATTTTAACAATTAAGCGAAAAAAGTTGCATTAAAACAGTAAATACGCCTCATTTTGCTATGATGCGCGTAATATTGCGCAATGGAAACTATAGTCGGACCCCTTAAAATTATTAACCAATGAAAATCCATTATTGATGTTACTTTCTAAAGTATCGATATAATGTAAATATTTCTATCCAGGCAATTATATGATAGGAGGGAAAGAGCAGCTTTGATTATAGTTCATGATATCTAAAAAATCGATGTAAACTAAAACAAAATTTTATCATGGAATTTTATATATATGAACAATAGACAGAGAAGACGATGCATAAAATAAACTTTTTAGTGATGTTTTATAATATTCCAGGGATATTAATGGTCTTGAAAACAAGTGAGTCTAGCTATATTGTTAAACATTTGAAGCTCAAAACTTAATTGAAAAAAACATCATGAGATAATTTACTAAATGTATGTATGTAAAAGATTGAATCTCAGTGAAAGGAATTCAAAAATTAACAAATATCTTTAATTATTAGGTGAAATTGCCCTACGACAGGTACAACTAAGACTTGACCTCATTGAACCGTCATTAGCGATCTGGTCTGGTTCTAATTACCCTCTGACATGGTGTGGACTGAAGTGTTTACAGAGCAGTGACTGTGTGTCTTTACTGTATAACTCTACAGATAAGTCCTGTAAGCTTTTTCAGGTGATTTACAACGTGGAGGAAGGAGGGGGTGACAATGTAAAATATTATATACTGGATAAAGGCAGTACCCGCAGGGGTAAGTAAAAGAGAGCTTTTTAACTCACAAAAAAGCATTTGAGACTATATACTCTAGTAGTCTAGTTTCTAATTGTTTTGAAATAATATATACAATAAAACATATTCCTATAGAAGATAGCTTTTAACGGCGTGCAATGTATGACTAAACGTTGTTTAAAGTTAATTTATTTTAATTTATCAATTATCGCACAATCATTTGGGAAAATGTAACACGACACTGTCGAAAATTAATATCTCGTAATATATGGCCGAATATTTTTAGCTTTAAACCTCATATATTAAAAAAACCATTTTTCATTATTATTATTTTGAAAAATAGCATTTTGAATCAGAATACGCTGAATAAAATTGTCTATATCGTCCCATATTCCAGGTCTATTTTCAATTGGGGTGTTAGGTAGCTCCTACCATTTTAATAATTGTATTTTATTAAAGATTCATTCAACCCCTTCCATCTTACCCCTTACCAAATCTACTCTTTCTGTTGCAGTAAGATAAAATATCTTCCATGCTATTGCAATAAAAACAATTTAGGTAAAGATTCACTCTTTTGAGTTTAACATTGTGTTTTCTTTGTGTTGTGAGAGGGATGATTACCCCACCCCTTTTGGTAAACGTTGCAATGGGCCACTCGTTTGTTTATTTATTGTATGAGTTATAAAGTTGTTTTGATTTGATTGTTATCAACTAAATATTGCTGTAGAGAAGTCCTTTTTATGCGAATAAATCATGTTTATATTGCTTTTAACATGTAGCTTTATTTCATCCACTAGTTTTAGTATATAGATATTGACAGAGTACTAGCATTTGTATATCTTCTTCAAATTATAATATCGGAAAATACTTTGCTATATGAGCATGTAAATATATTTATTTTGAAAAGTTCCAATAATCTTTATGTTCTGTTGGAGAAAATACACCAAAAATATCGATTTTTGCTAAGCTGCCCATGTTCTTTTTTATTATAAAGATGGGATTTAAAAAATAAAATATAAAACACATCTTTTCTAAAGTTTACAGATATAAAATAATCCATTGATTTACAACCATTGTTCTTCAAATGTGAGCCGCGAGGTAAACATGCATTTCCAGTCAGATGAATATATCATTATTCCAGATTAATGTTTAAAAACAAAGCATCGTCTTTCAAGCATGTATCTATCAAATGCATTTACAATTTCCGCAAACTCCACGGTCAAGATAATGATCAAAGTTAGCAAATACTGGTACAATCTATTGTTAATTCGAGTGTTAACTGACTTTTCCAATAAGACTGTACAAAGGCGATTACAAGTATTTTCATAGATAGTGCCAAAGCACATGTCCTTAAATGTTAGATATAGTTAAGCCCTTTGTTAAAAATTCTACATATTTTAAGAAGTGTGTTTCAACAATATTTTGTCGTAAGTATTTTAAGAATCATATATAGTAAGAAGTCAATACATGTAAAGGTTTGTACACTACAGTACAGCCATGTTTCCTTCTTATTTTCCACAGTACCAGAATCATGTCAGGATATCGCTTCCAGTACAGGAATTACGACGGATGGCGAGTACTGGATTTATCCTCGAGCAACGAACAGAAAAAGAGTGAAGATATTTTGTTACAACATGGCATCTAATCCATCTGAATATATAACTTTGGGGAATCTGAATTCCTTTATTCAACACGATCAATCGAACTGGCCAATTAAGGGGAAACAGTGTCAGTCTAGTTACAAACTACCATTAAAGAGGGTAAATTTCAACAAAGTTGGAATAAAAATTCAGGTACATGAATTGTAACAATACTCTGCTTCCGTTTCTGATAATCGTCACATATATTCAGTTTATGTTAATTAATATATTGCTTACGTCTTTACATCAAGGCTACATCAAAAATTTCAAAAATGATATTCTTTGAAATCAGAATTCAAGAAAAGCAAAACAAACAAGCTAATTTAGAGAATCTGTGACCCTCGCTTATGGAAAAAAAGCTTGCACAGATCTAGGGTAGGGGGTCTAGGGGGCACTTTATGAAAGGACAGACGAACAGTCAGACCGAAATTAATATCCCCTACTTTCATGGAAAATGGGGGAGAAGATGCAATCAAATTTAATCTTTTCTACATTTTTTTTCAAAGTGCAATTTTGCAAATGTAGCAATTTTGCACATATCATCTGTGGGACAAATTTTATATCTGCAAGTTGAAATTAAAGTGTTAGTTTTTTTCTATATATAGAATATGGAAGTCAATGGATTAGACTACACCTTTACATTGCTGACTGGCACGCCTACGGTACCGTATGGAGAAATAAGAGATTGCAATGGTGAAGCATTTCGGAACCCCTGTCCACATTTCGCAAATGCAACCATAAACACCAAAGGAACAGGGCTGGTTATTGACCCCTCTGTAAGATTTCGTTTTAAAACATCTTAACAATTAAAATAAAATTAATATTTACGTCTTGTTTAGTCAAAATAATTTAAAATAAATAAATATGCTGCAAATCACAGATGCTTATACGATGGTCATCCAAAAAGTTCATTGACCTATTGTCATAACTTTTTTATTTAACGTCATATTTAAACCAAATTTGGTACAAATATTTTAAGAACAGAATCAAATATTTTAAGCAAAGAAATTAAAATATATCTTGATTGTTTTCAAACTTATCAAAGATTAAAACAGCCAGAATGGGGTCCCAGAACAGGGTCAAAAATGAATTATTTACTTATTATACACTTTTCATACCTAAATCCATTTCTCTTTAAAAATTGTCCTTAAACGAAATAAAATTTAAATGCTTAAATTTAGCATTGTTTTATTACTTCAGAAGCTAAAAGTTAATGAAAATACATTGCTTGTTAAAGAGATATCAATATCTATAGGGAGATATTCTTGATTATAAAATGCAAAAAATCATGACGTCGAAGGACGTCACGGAGCAGCGAGTAGCAATTAGATTTTGTCTTGCATCTGGGAACTTTTGAAATAAACTCCAAAAATGCTGGAGAAAAGAGGAAAAATTGATAAAATGAACCGTGTACATGTATATGTTTATAATGGAACAGACAATTTTTTAGGGGTAAAAACTATGAATTGGAAGATGGTCGGTCTGCAAAGGAACAGATTTTAGTTCAAAATCTGAATTGTCAAAAAGTGAATAACGTCATGAAACGTAATGTGCATTCCACTGTTGCATAACTTGTGAAAGCAGAGTTACACGGTGAAAAATTTGATATCATTGAAAATCTTATATAAGGAAACCGAATTATTGTTAGCATGCTGGGTATCAAGTGTTATGGATACATTTGATGAATGATGAATACGATACAAACCGATTATTAAATGAAAAAGCACAGTGAGTTTGAGAAACTTTTACGACGTTGTTTTTGAAGTTATGTGTACAATGTTTTATCCGTGCTCCGTGGTGAAATACATGGGTTTTTTTTAAATTGGCCGACATTAGTTCAATTTTATCAAATGGAATGAGACTACACACATCTATAACAGATATGTTTTTACATATAAAAATGTGCTGATATTTAATTTTGTATAAATAATGTGATAATGAGAAACATTGTCTACGTTTTTTTTTTAATGACCCTCGTATATAGTTACAAAAGCGTGGATTTTTTAAAATTCACAACAAAAAAATTGAAATTGAAGATTTACAAACTTTAAGCTCGATGTAAATTGATATTCTACATGATCCTTTCGTTTTTATTTTTTTCCAGCTATCGTGGGAAACACTTGCTGGCAGTCACACGGAGCTAAGAGATTTTCAAAAATCAACAGATGATTCCGAGATTTCCTTTACCTGTGCAGGATGGTGTGCAAGGTGTGGACCAAAGTCAGGACCCATTACATTTCAAGTGTCAAACGAATTTAGTAAGCATTTTCCCTCTTTTTATATTCAACTCATTTTAAAATTAACGACAAACCAATTAAAATATTCAAGCTTGAAGACTAAATTCAATTAAGGTCATACGCAACGTAGTTTGAACTTTATTGGGTTCTTCCCTGGAGTTGAAGAGTTCCACTAAATGAAGGACATGTGTGCAATATTTTTAATGTCTATATATGAATTTGTACACCTCTTCTAAAATATTTTTTAATGGAAAAAAAATCTGGAATTTATATTTTGTAATTTCGGTACATTTTTCTTTGATTAATACAATTTTTTTAAAAATTTGATATCTTTTCAAAACCCTTGGTAACGCATGCTGATTTTTTGTCAAAGAACATGTAATTGTACTCTGAGCTTAAATTTAGAATATCTTCGAAAGTTATCAGTAGATAAGGTACGTTGCGTATGTCCTTAATTGTAGTTATGAATATTAATATTCCTTAACAAGGTAGACGTAGACATTGTGTGAATAATCCAAATTTTCTAGTTAGTCAACCAAAGCAAAATAAATGAGAGTTTTTTCTCTTTCTTTTCAGTATCAGCTGCAAATGCTCAAGCTGTGATCTGTAATAACTGAACGTTTAAATGCACTTCTCTATCATTGAAGACAGTTCAATCCAGAAATACATGTATGGATGACTATAACAACTAATCTACCTTTTTGTATATACTTCTCTGTCCGTCTGTCTGTCTGTCCGTTACAATTTTTTCGTCGCAGATTTCTCAGCAACTACTCATCGCTGATGCTTGAAAATTTGAGCACATTCTTCGCTGAGGCATGTCATATAGTGGGATTCATTTTAGCTCACCTGAGCCGAAGGCTCAAGTGAGCTTTTCTGATCACATTTTGTCCGTCGTCCGTCCATCCGTCCGTCTGTCCGTCCGATAACTTTTCACATTTTCGATTTCTTCTCAAGAACCAATCGGTCGACTTCAACCAAACTTTGTATAAAGCATTCTTGGGTTAAGGGAAATTTCAATTGTAAAAATGAAGGACCAAGTCCCTTCACAAGGGGAGATAATCAAAAAAAGACAAAAATAGGCTGGGTTTATTAAAAAATCTTCTTCTCAAGAACCACTGAACCAGAAAAGCTGAAACTTATGTGGAAGCATCCTGGGGTTGTGTAAATTCTTAATTGTTCAAATCATGGCCCCGGGGGGTTTGGCGGGGCCACAATGGGATATCAAAATTTTACATAGAAATATATAGGAAAAATCTTTAAAAATCTTCTTCTCAAGAACCACAGGGCCAGAAAACCTGAAACTTATGTGGAAGCATCCTAGGGTAGTGTAGATTCTAAATTGATCTAATCATGACCCCCCGGGGATAGGGCGAGGCCAAAAGTTGGAATCATAGTTTTACATAGAAATATATAGGTAAAATTAGAAAAATCTTTTTCTCAAGATCCAATGGGCCAGAAAAGCTGAAACTTATGTGGAAGCATCTTGGGGGTAGTGTAGATTCTAAATTGATCTAATCATGACCCCCGGGGGTAGGGCGGGGCCACAATGGGATATCAAAGTTTTACATAGAAGTATATAGGAAAAATCTTTGAAAATCTTCTTCTCAAGAACCACTAAACCAGAAAAAGCTGAAACTTATGTGGAAGCATCCTGGGGTAGAGTAGATTCTAAATTGTTTAAATCATGGCCCCCGGGGGTAGGGCGGGGCCACAATGAGGAATCATAGTTTTACATAGAAATATATAGGAAAAACTTTTGAAAATCTTCTCAAGAACCACAGGGCCAGAAAAGCTGAAACTTATGTGGAAGCATCCTGGGGTAGTGTAGATTTCATATTGTCTAAATTATGATCAGTAGGGTAGGGTTGGGTCACAATATGTATTACAAGGGGGAAATCTAGTAAAGAACAGAATGGTCAAAGCTTCTCATGTGAGCGATGTGGCCCATGGGCCTCTTGTTGTACAAATCTGATGTCAACATCCTGTTTATCCTCGCGTCTGTCCGTACCATGCATACCGTATTTTCGTCGCAGTTTTCTCAGCAACTTCTCATCGCTGTTGCTTGAAAATTCAACTCATACTTTGCTGAGGTATTCCATATGGTGGGATTTATTAGCTCACCTGAGCCGAAGGCTCAAGTGAGCTTTTCTGATCAAAATTTGTCCGTTGTCTGTCGTTGTCGTTGTCGTCGTCGTCGTCATCGTAAATTTTTCACATTTTCATCTTCTTCTCAAGAACTACTTGGCCAATTTCAACCAAACTTGCCACAAAGGATCCTTGGGTAAAGGGGATTCAAGTTTGATCAAATGAAAGGCCGAACCCTTTTCCAAGGGGAGATAATCATGAATTAAAGAAAAATTAATGGCATTTTAAAAAAAATCTTCTTCTCAAGAACCACTGGGCCAGGAAAGATGAAACTCATGTGGAATCATCCTCAGGTAGTGTAGATTCATGTTTGTTCAAATCATGACCCCCAGGGGTTGGGTGGGTCCCAAATGGCCGATCAAAGTTTTACATAGGAGTTTATAGGAAAATGTTTTTAAAAATCTTCTTCTCAAGAACCACTGGGCCAGGAAAGATGAAACTCATGTGGAACCATTCTCAGGTAGTATAGATTCAAGTTTGTTCAAATCATGACCTCAGGGGGTAGGGTGGGGCCAAAATGGCCGATCAAAGTTTTACATAGGAATATATAGGAAAAATCTTTAAAAATCTTTTTCTCAAGAACCACCGGGCTAGGAAAGATGAAACTCATGTGGAATCATCCTCAGGTAGTATAAATTCCAGTTTGTTCAAATCATGTTCCCCGGGGGTAGGGTGGGGCCAAAATGGCCGATCAAAGATTTACATAGGAGTATATAGGAAAAATCTTTAAAAATCTTCTTCTCAAGAACCACCGGGCCAGGAAAGATGAAACTCATGTGGAACCATCCTCAGGTAGTGTTGATTCAAGTATGTTCAAATCATGTCCCCCGGCGGTATACCCTATGTAGGGTGGGGCCAAAATGGCCGATCAAAGATTTACATAGGAGTATATAGGAAAAATCTTTAAAAATCTTCTTCTCAAGTACCACTGGCCTAGGAAAGATGAAACTCATGTGGAATCATCCTCAGGTAGTGTAGATTCAACTTTGTTCAAATCATGATCCCCAGAGGTAGGGTGGGACCAAAATGGCCGATCAAAGTTTTACATAGGAATATATACGGAAAACTTTTAAAATCTTCTTTTCAAGCACTTTAAAGCCATGATTAGAGATATTTATATGGAATCATCCTCAGGTAGTGTAGATTCTAGTTTGTTCAAATCACAATCCCAGGGATAGGGTGGGGCCACAATGCAGGATCCAAGTTTTACATTAAAATATATTTAAAAAGTCTTCTTATCAATAATAGCAAAGCCATGATTAGTGGTATACGTACTAGTATTTGTATGGGAGCATTCTCAGGTAGTGTAGAATGAAATTTGTTCAAATCATAACCACCAAGAGTAGGGTGGGTTCTCAATGGTGGATCAAAGTTTTACAATAAAGGGAAAATCCCAAGAACAGAAAAGCTATGTTTAGTCATATTGGCTTGTAAGCATCCTCATGATTTGAAAATCATGGCCCTTTAGGATAGGGAGGGAAACATTGGGGAATCAAATTCAAATTATTACGAAATAATATATAGGAACAAAATGTTTAAAAAAGAAATCTTTTTATCAATAACAGCAAAGTCATATGCTTTATTGATATGAAGGCATTCTCAAATAGTATTACAATTGAAGCCCCCCCCCCCCCCTTCAGTAAACTTTCAGTTTTGATCTGATATGTGTTTTTTCCTAGCCGATGTGCTTAGGTGAGCGATGTGGCCCCTGGGCCTCTTGTTTTTTTTTTTTATATGAATCTGATGTCAACTTCCTATTTACTAGTATCCGTGCATCTGCCCATAACTGAACTTTTGTATGTTAACATGATAGAATATATTCATATTAAAGCGGGGGTATTATTAGTGAGCATTGGATCACAGACTTCATGTTATCACTGGAATTGTTTGATTTTTATAGAATATGAATTTGATATATTACATTCTGTATCTTCCTGCTTTATGTTGAGAGATAGCAATGTGAATCCTAGATTTAATTTAGATACTTCTTGTAACACTTCATCCAACAACTCTACAAATGATTTCAAATTTTTACTTTAAACCCACTTATTTGAGCTCTTTGAAATAAAATCATTATCATGAACAGACTGATTTATCTTGTTAAGGGTACGGGTCACCATAGCCTATTTTATAAGGTTAACCAAACTCTAAAAAGAATAATGGTGCCATCAAAACCTTCATTATTCATTCTTTTTTAAGCATATTTCAAAAGACATGCATGTAATGATATTAACAATTATATATATTTTAAAAATACTATTTATTCTGTGTAAATACTTTCTTCAACTGATGATACTAACATGATTATGTTCTTTATACTTTACTCCAAAACAGTGATTTAATAATGTCAGTTGTGTTACTGAAGAACATCAGCATATAAAAAATGCTCCTATTTACCGATATTATTTTCGAATAGAAATCTTTTGTGTGTGTATGTATGTGTATGTGTGTGGGGGGGGGGGGGAGGGGGGTTGAGTGTGTGTGAGAGGGTGTGTGTGTGTGGGTGTGTGTGCTACAAAGCGAGAATCTTATCTGGACCTCTAATTATCATCTCACGAACTCATTATATTAATGCACAACTTTTAGAAATAGGATATCTATGGTCTGTTACTGGCACAGTAAGAATATATAACATGCAATACTACTTAAGGAAGCTCTACACATTGCACACTAAAGAGCTCTACTTATAGGGTAATTTTAAGCATTTGGAGTGATCTGCCCTTAGAAATAAGATTTGAAAAATGTTATTTACAGTTATTTACACGATTTGTGATAAATTAAAATATTTTAAGCCTTATATAAGACTAAGAATAAGAAATTGAATTCATTATTTTCATTAATTTTCGCATTGTAAGTTAACAGCAGTGGTTTCTTCTCACAAATAGAGCATTGTCTTTGGACATTTTTCCTGTGGAAATAATGCAGGTACCCTATGTAACAATTGAATGATAAAGTCTCAACATGCACACCTTTAAATGATATATTTTTCTCAAAGTCCAAAAAGCAGTTTCTGTTAGTGTTTAGAGCTTCCTTAATATGAGCTGATACTTTCCGTTATGCTGTGATTGTATGGAAGTATTTGTTATCAATATCTATTTCTTTATTATTATTTTTTTTATATCATACTATGATAAATACAGTAAAAAAAATAAGAGAGAACCTGTAACTTTCACCAAAATCAATAGCATATAAATATACATAAACTTCATATACGTTTCAACACCTTATGTAACCCCATGCAGAGTTAATTTTTTTTTATTTTTCAGAACAAGTACTCCCAGGTTAATAAAAAGATGATTGAGTTTCTCATTGACAATAACTACATGTATGTGAATTTCAAGATCAGGAGATTTCCAGCAATCTGTTTTGAATGTTCATGACTGGGTACTCAATGTGGCTTTTTTTGAAAAGATCTGTTTTTGTATTCATATGAAACAAATTCACTTCGAATCCTACATGAAATCAAAGT